TACCATCGAATAGAAAAAAAAAATGAGTTAAAGAATCAAAATCAAAAAGAGAAAGAATCCGCAAGCCAAAGAGATCTTAGATCAAATGCACAAAATGTTATTGAGCTAGATAAAGTTCAATTTGCATCATATTTCATATTGGTGAGAACTCCAATGGAATCTGTTGAATAGTGCTCATATATTGTTCTTAAATTTATGAACCCATACTCTATTTTAATTGTAATTAAGGCTCCGTTTTGTATACATGGATTTCAAAAGAAGGGATTTGAGGTTAAATTTTATAAAAGTATAGGAGAGTCATTATGGCTAGCTTGAGAAACTAAAGAGAAAACTAGAGTTAAAAAATAGTAACTTCTTAGGATTTTTGTACAATTAGAATCCTTAGTATGAAGTATTTGAAATATTTTTATTTTATTGCTAACGAATTCATCCCTATAGAGTAAACTCTAGATACACTTAATCACCTCCCAACCACGTGTTTCAGGTGAGTCTAGGTGCATCACCAAGAAATATTGCCCAAAACGTCTGAGTTTATGGTTTGTCCCAGAGACGTTTGAATGAAGAATTTGAAATAACTACTTTTACATCGTTATTTCAAATTCATCAGGATAAAGTGCTTAAAATCAAATTTGAATCATATATCTAAATTATCAAATCTAAATGTGAGCTAGCTTTTTTAACGATTAGTGTCCAATCCTTTCATTTCAAATCCATAAGCAGCCTGCAAAAATTAACGGCAAGAGAGAGAACTAAGGGGATTTGATGACCTGAAAGAAAATCTAATGCCAACAGGTTGCTCAAATGACAAACAGAATGTAACCAACATTATTGTTATGCACAAAGATATGATCTATTTTAACTCTTGCCATTAGAATTGAAGTTCTGGGAGCATACTGGAATTAAACCTGAAAACATTGAGATTTACCAACCTTGATATTGTCAATCGTTGTTGGTGGTAAATTTCTTCTTGATGTATACATTGGCTTCATAGAAACCAAATCTCGGGGGCTGAAAAGGCAGAAGGAAATGTTAAAACTTTTTTTTTTGTTTTTGGAAAGCATTTTTGTTTACTGATAGAATGTCAGTATTAACTGTCATTAAACAAATACTAGAGAGACTAGCCTTTTGAATGAACTTATCAAACAGACTACATTCCATGGACTTTCTTTCCCTTCTACCAAACAATGCGAAGTAAAATATGGGTTTTCTGATACTTACATGTGCAGTAAGAGCAAGGTTTGCTTCAAAAAAGGATCTAATTGTGCCAATGTCTTCCCAGTAGTCGTTAAATAAATATGACTGCAACATTATGCCAGACATGGTTTAGCTCATTGCCCAATATGCATATACACGAGAAATAAAAAACTATATGTCATAATTGTAGAGAATGATTAATTTTTTCAAGGGAAACAAAAAAAAATTCTATGTAAAATGTCTACATAAAGAGAACGGTTAGAAAAGATTTGATGCTGACCTTTATGAGGAACTCTTTGGTTGAGGCAGGGATTATCTCTGGCCCGAAGTCATTTGCAGTTGGGAATCGCCACCTGACTCAACAAGAATGCATAATTCTTAGTGCTTCCTCAATTTTGACATTGCTTGCTTTAATTTCATTGATAGCATAACCAAGCTGGTATAATTTTATTTTCTCTTCATTCTATTTTTATATTTTAAAATTGTTTTGCATATATCTGACCCTTTCAGATCTTATAGTAGCGACATAATAGTGTAGTGTCATGAGATAACTTCAATTGTTTGGTTCCTTAAAAGGTTTAGAAGTATCTCCTTCTTGAAGACATACACTCCCATGGAAGCAATGTATGGTTTCCTTTCGGCCTCTTCTCTCAAGAGTCCCAAAACTGTTGTATCTACTACCTAAAGCAAACAAAAACCTTAAGCTGAGTCGGCATATACTGCAAAACTTTGAATTATCATTTGATGTTGCGAAGTTATCATAAATTCAAGTATTACCATTGCCTTCAAATCATCTCCTTTGGGCTTTTCGCTGAATAACATGACCCTTCCTTTCCTTTACTGTCTATCTTCATCAAACCAAAATCTGAAGCGCGGCTAAAATGAAAACCAAGAAGAACATTTTGAACCTCAAAGGCCTCAGGATCATGCTTATTGAGTCAATATATAATTAGAGAGTTAAAACCACTTGGAAAGCCAAGTTGTTAGAAAACAATAACCAACCTGTCAGCCATTGGCAGACAAGAAAGAGTGATATCAGCACCGCTTTGACGATGATTCTGAAATGAAGAATTCAAGTCTTCGTGTCAGAAATAAGTGTTTGAATGCACGAACAATGTCAAATGACAAAGCTCAGTATAGGAAAAATAAAATTCAGTGGCTTACTTGAACAAAGTCCATATAGTCCATTCTATACAAGTGATCTCCAGATAAAATGACCACATCTTCAACGTCTTTGCTTCTTTCATCCTACATGATGGAAATCATATTCCAATTGAAACTGGAATAGAAACACTTAGCCAGTACCTCAAAAAGCCAATGAAACTGCCTCACTGTGTTAGCTGTACCTTGGAACCACCTTTTACCCTCCTTACCCGGAGTCTGAGTCGCTGCCAGAGCATGTCACAGAACAGAACAATTTTCAATTTAACCAATCAATCACATATCAACTTACAAAAGATCATCATACAACACGTTCTATATAAAATTGTGACGTTGACTAGAAATAACATACCTCGACATAGCCATCTCCAAAGGTGACACCAGCTCCAAGGTTGTAGGCGCGTGTCAAATGCCTATTGAGCAATGCGGAGTTGAACTAAGTGAGAATGTAGACTCTGTTGATTCCACTATTGATGGAATTACTCATTGGCACATCAATCAAACGGTATGATCCTCCGATAGGGACCTAGAAGTAGAGAATAGGAGAGATAATGAGTAGGCAATAAGCACAAATATAGATGAAGCACAATGACCTTTTGTGAATGCAGTTGGGGTTAGTGGGGGGAAAGGTTGTTGGGAGATTGAAAAAGAAGACCTACAGCAGGCTTGGCACTGCTTTTAGTGAGAGGGAAAAGACGAATACCGGCTCCACCTCCCAGTATAATCGCCGCGACTGTTCTTGGGTCCCTTTTCTCCATCTCTAGGTCTCTCAACTGCACAAAAAACACATTTTGTTATGACAATTATGTAATTAGGACCCCTCCTACAACTGCAAAAAATAGATCAAGCTCAAGCTTTTCAATGAGCAGCCCATAGTAACTCCTTAAAACACTAGGCTAACGAACAAACAATATGTGCATTTATAAGAAAGCCCTTAAACTGAGTTTGTGATTACCAATTGAGGAATATGCTATAGTTTCAGGATCTATTGAGTGTGTTTGGGAACTTAGTTTTTAGGTTTTTTTTGTTTTTGTTTTTTTTCACTACAAGACAAAAGTTCTACAAAACCAAAAACAAAAAAAACAAATCCAAACAAAATATCACATCAAACCCCATAATCATTTCACTTTTTCTCTCATAAACATCACATCCAATCACAAAAAAACCCAACTATCTTCCCAAACACAAAATTTTTTTTTTCTAATAATATCCTACAACTAAAAAAACCTACATAAAAACCCACTTCCCAAAAACCCACATTATGTTATCTATGGAAAATAATTTACAAACAAAATTTTGTACAAAATACTCATCCAAAATGATGTGAAAATGATGTGACAGTGACATTTGAGAAATTACGAGTCATAATGGTGGGGTTTTGGTTTGAAATGGAACGCATAGAAACAACCTCATCATGCTTTATCAAAATTTTGTATAAATATTTTGTTTGTATATCATTATTCATTATCTATGATTGAGAAACAAGTGAATGAATGCATGTTGCGCCCTCTAGTGTGAACTTTGTTTGGGTTTGAATGGACCCATTAAGATGATCTGAACTGTTCAAAATGCAGGACATGTCAAACAAATTATTCATGTAGAAAAAATAGATTGATTGAATATCGAATGCCACATAATAAAAACATCTTTAAAAAAGTAAATAATAAATGTGATCTTGTGAATAAACCTTTTAATTTTTGAAGATGTGATTAGATATGTGGCTATTATGTCCAATCAATTTGATTTATTGTATAAATAATCTACTCAATAAATCTTACAAAATAATAAACGATTCTGATCATCTCAATATGTTGAGAGTGAATCTCGTCGAACCTAACAGTTCCATTCCCAAGAAATAAGGCCATGTAAGTCATATGAGGAACTAGACAAAATATGAAATATCAACGAGTATGATTCTTTAGGATCTACTTATATTTCTCTGATTTTTCTATTTTGGAAGAGTTTTTTGTTATCATTTATTAGGACACCTTAGGATGAGAATTATGGATTTTGGAGGTGTGAGAATGAGGACACCTACATCAACATCTAGTTTTCATTTTCATCATCTTATTGGATAGCAAGTTAGGGCATAGAGCATAACCTTTTAGAATTAACTCACTTGCACTTCACTAATTTTGCAATTGCTTTTCCCATTTTTCATTTATATGGTATTTTCAATTGGTATCGTTTGAATGTGATAGTTTGTCTTATTTGCTATTTTAACTTATTGTCTTTATTAACTATTTTAGCTTCCAACCCTCTTCCTAAATAGGGCCATGACAATTTTTTTTTTCCTTCAAAAAAACTATAAAAAAAAAATCAATTGGTAAAAGATTAATTAAAAAATAAAAAAATTTATATAATAAGACAGAACGGTTTTTGAAAATCTATATAACAATGGAAGGGTTCATTTGAAAATGTCTCTCAAATTAATGGTTCAGATCTATCTAATTTGGAAAGCAATGGCTCAGATTTATTTGTAAAAATATCTCTCTCACAAACTATCTTTAATGGTTTAGATTTGTTCAATTTAAAAACAATGGCTGAGATTGAAAAGAGTTTCAATGATCTAGATTCATCAATGACTAAAATTCAATGGCTCAGATTTGTTTACCTATCAACTCTCACCAACCTACTACACTTACCAGGTAAGGCACTCTTTGCATCATATGTATCAATCGAAAGCTCTGAAGAAAGCTCTCCTCTCCACAAAGCTTTGACGAAGGAAGAACACAGCTCAATCGAAAGCTGTCTTCTCCACCATCACCAGGTAAGGCACTCTTCTCTCCTCTGTTTTTTTTTTCTTATCATCCCATCTTCTCTCTTCTGCTAAACAATGGCTCAAATTTTTTTTACCTTCAGTTTGTTTTTTTCTGAAGCAAAAAAAAAAAAAAATTCTGAAGCAAAAAATTTACTTACTCTGTCTCTGCAAAAAATTCTGAGGGTTGAGATTATATTATCAAAATTCTAAAGCAAAAAATTTTGATTTGTTTGTTTTGGCTTTTTCCCTCCAAAATGTGTCTCTTCACTTTGTCTCTCTTTCCCAAAGTTCTGAAGCAAAAGCTCTCTTCTGATTTGTTTGTTTTAGATTCAACTCTCCATTTTTCTCACTGGTTTTAGCAATCTCCAGCAAAAGCTCTCTCTCTCTTCTTAGCAATCTCCATTTTTCTTCTCTGCTCTTTCACTCTTCTAACCTATGAAATGGGTTTCTATTTCTGTAAATATTGATGGATTTTGATGGATTTTGATTTCATTGATGGGTTCTTAGAAATGGATTTTGATTTCGAAATGGATTTTCATTGATGGATTTTCTATTTCGAATTGTTCATTCGGACTGCTCCAGCAATTTTTCTTCTCTGCTCTTTCAATCTCCAAAATTTTATATGAGTTTCTATTTCGGTTCCATTTTCCCATGTTTCGATTATATATGATGGGTTGAAAATTTTGTATGATAGGTTTATATATTTCTATTTCATTGATGGGTTTTATCAACTAACCTATGATTATGATGGGTTTTCTATTTTGATTTTTGGTTTTGATTTCTATAAAATTGTATTTTGGTTTTGTATTTTGAAATGGGTTTATATTTCAGTTTCGATTTTAGGTTCATATTGGTGGGTTTCAGAAAAGTATTGAATAAGATTTCTATGAGTAAATGGGTGCTGATCACATGGGTTTCTATTTTGGGATTGAAACATTAACATTAGCATTCTGTTTGCATTATAGGGCTGTTTTCCTTTTCTTAATTCATTGTCTAGGGCTGTTTTCCTTTTCTATCAGATTATATGGTTGTTTTCATATATTACATTATAGGGCTGTTTTCCTTTAACATTAACATTAACATTAACATTATAGGGTTGTTTTCCTTTTCTATCAGATTATATGGTTTCCACATATTACACGGTTCCTTCATGAACTATGGTGCAAACACAAACTTGGTTCTCTTCAGCCACTAACTTTGGCTCTCTTCAAAGCAAATATCTGAGACTCATCTGAGAGTATGTGAATTGCCAAATTTATAGATAATCAAATGTTAATTATTGTTTCTTAGGTCCTTGCATGCATTATATGGTTTCCACATATTACATGGTTCCTTCATGAACTATGTTATTGATTGTTTCCACCTATTTTGTATTGTGCTTTTTTCTCAAATGTCTAAAATTGGCAGTTTAACATTGGAATCCACTACAAATGATATAGTGGATGTCCAAGTGGTGTTTTTTTTTTTAATTTTTTTTAAAGAAAAATTTAAAATTATTGTGATGATGTCTAATTAGATGATTTATAAAAATTATGTATTTTGGTTTTTTGTGGTATGAAAGGTGAATTTATCTATACTAAGTGAAGGCAGGACTTGGTATCCAAGCCTTCTATTTATGCCACATGTCCCTCATTTTTCTATTTAGAAAAAATAAAAATTAGATAAGTAAGGGGTGAGACTTGAACGTCTTTTTATTTTTGAAGGTGAGTATACTATATCACGATGAAGGTGAGTACACTACACAAAGACTCACACTCTTGCGTTCTATTTAAATACTTCAAAATGTTTTAGAAAGAAGAGAACTTCTTTCATATAAATTATAGAAATATTATTAGTATGGTTTAGTGACTTTTAGACTTATTTGAGGTCAAGAATTAGATTAAAATAAATGAATGTTTGTCCAATAAAATTCAAAATTACCAGAATGCTTTGGAGTCCTAGGGATTGCAATGTTAAACAGCCACATGGGCCATAGTATACAAAGGGGTCTAGGGAACCGAAATATTGAAATTCTGTATTGTGTTTTTTTCTGTAACAATCAATGGGTTTCAACACCCACTTCTCTCTCTCTATCAAATGGGGGTTAAGTAAAAATGGATTTCAAATTAAGAATCATTTTTATTTCATCTTAGTTAAATGGGTTGAGACTCTCTACAATTATCAATTGTCATAATTATCAATAGTCATATTTTTACTCACCAAATATGAGTTGAAAAAATGACAGTTTGTCAGAATTTTTAAAATTTTATCAAATGTCTCAAATGTCTCAAAATACAAAATAAAATTCTGTATTGTGTTTTTTTTCTTTAATAATCAATTGGGTGTCAACACCCACTTCTCTCTCTCTCTATCAAATGGGGGTTAAGGAAAAATGGATTTCATGTGCAGAATCATTTTTATTTCATCTTATGGGTTGAGACTCTCTTTAAAAGAAAATTTTGAAGCAAAAATATAGCGATCCCAGTTGTCCCTTTACTGTTCTGTTGTGTTCTGGACTCGGTTCCGTGAAGTTAGTAGTGGTATCTATCTTGTTGATGTCCTTTAATTCCCCTTGATTGAGTTTTAGGATGTTTTGAGCAGGGTTGTTACAGGTTGGTTAGGCCTTAGTTTCAATTCCTTGTTGTCCAGTTTTTAGGCGATTCGCTCGAGCGGGTCTTCTTGCGCTCAAGCGGGGATTGCACACCTCCAGTATTTCGTGTTCCTGCAAAACTTCTGCAGATGTGATTTTTACGCTCGAGAGGGTTTGTTTACGCTCGAGCGGGTTTGGTGGCGCTCGAGCGGGTAGTACTTTTGGGGTATAAGTTCTGAGAGGTGGAAATCTACACTCGAGCGAACTGGTTTTCGCGCTCGAGCAGAAGTGCTTTATTCTTGTGTCTTGGCGCTCGAGCGGGACTTATTGCGCTCGAGCGTGTTCAGATTTTTGTTCTTGACGCTTGAGCGTTGTGTTCTCCGCTCGAGCGGGTTATACGTATATGAGTTATCCGTTGGGTGATTTTAAATCACTTTTTGCTTTTCTTTCTCTCTCCTACTTTTTCTAAAACCATTTTTTTTGAGAGCCTCTTTCTCTAGAAACTCCCTTCTCTCTAGGGTTTGATCTAGTTAGAGTGTCCTCCTTCTCTTCGGTCTTTGTAAAAGTTGTGTTGATTGTCGAGGGGGTCATTTTGATCCGAGAATCTTGATCTTTGGAGCACTTTGGTTTTGGTCTCTTCTCCATCCGAGCTCTAACTTCGAGGTAGGGATATCCTACTCCTCTTTACGAGCTTTGTCTTTAAATTTTAGTATTTTGAGATGTTGGGTTTGGTTTGGTGATTTTGTGAAAGTTTGGGGGCCTTGGTGTAATTTTTACAAAAGTTGGGGTTTTAGCAATATAAAAACCTAGATGCATGTTTGGCATGGAAAAGTGAAATTAATGTTAAAACATTAATGAAAATGGAACCTAAGGGTTGAATGTTAATTATGGAAAATGCTCTAATTACATTGGTTAATTAATTTGCACAATTAATTATGAGAAATGAGAAATGAGGAATTGATTTGAGAAGTCATGGGATAAAAGGGTGTAGTTGGATTATTTATCACTCACCTAGTTGAAAAGTTGATTATATATCCATTGTTGCATTTATTTTCTGTATAGAGATAACTGCTTTGGGCTATCGGTGGAGGATAGTCTTGATTGTTGTAGACAATGCATGATGATTAGGCAAACTGAAACTAATCACTGGAATGTGTCATGGAATTTGACGGTTGATAGAATACATTAACTATATGTATTGAGTGATTGTATATAGAACCAATGTGTTTGTATACGTTATGTGTCGGTTTAGGGGAAGATAGGGGATGGACCTCTAAACCAGATGTTGTTGGGAGAAGATAGTGGATGGACTCCATAGATAGAGCTCATATGCTTATCTAGTGATGTGTTGACATAGCTCATATGCTTGTCTTTGGAAGTGTGATAGTGCTCTTATGCATATCTATGGAAGTGATGATATAGCTTGTATGCTTATCTGTTGATGTGTGATATAGCTAGTATGCTTATCTATTATGAAATGGGAAAGTGCTTGATATGAGTTATTGCCTCATGTGAGTTGTTTGGCCAGGTTCTGAGCCATGGTTGTAAATTGAGAATTTAAAGGAATTGGAAAATAAATTGTAATATGGACTTGTATGTCATGAAACCGTAAAGTGTGATAAGGGAAAGTATCAGTGTTGGCCATCTATCAACTACTAATCTTTTAGTCATGGTTCATATTTGGTTTAGTGTATTTCTACTGGGCTGTGGCTCACCCTATATGGGAATATCATTTTCAGGTACAGGTAGCATGCCACCTCCAAGGACTTAGCTTGGGAGGCTAAAGGCGGACACACTTTTGTTGTCTTATTTCTTTTGATGTATTACATGTAGATTCAAGCCAAGGGCTTAATATGTAATTGAGTTAGTACTCTCTTTTGTAACCAAGTGTTAACTTGGAAAGTTGTAAGCCCGTAGGGCATTTGGTTTTGTTGTTAACACGTAATACTTTTGTAATGAAGTACTTTGATGAATAGAAGAATGTGAAGCTTTGTATATCGATGCATGTCTATATTAATGCGTTAATGTTATTATTTTGAGGGCGTTACAAAAAATCTCATTAAACCCTACCAATGACAATTATATTCGGACCACACTGAAATTGAAACATTATAGGGTGTCTTTCTATTTTTGTAAATATTGAAATGGGTTAAAAATATGATGGATTATAGGGCTGTTTGCACCCTATTTTATTTTGTTGCATTATCCAAAGCCCATTTTATTTTGCACCCTGTTTTTGGTGATAATAATTCCTATAATCTATTAAATGCTGCTGTTGAGGATGAGCTTTAATAGCAAAAACAAAAATGTTGAACATTTTACAATTTTTATCAAATGTCTCAAAATACAAAATGAAATTCTGTATTGTGTTTTTTTGTTTAATAATCGATTGGGTTTCAACGCCCACTTTTCTCTCTCTATCAAATGGGGGTTAAGGAAAAATGGATTTCAAATTAAGAATCATTTTTATTTCATCTTAGTTAAAGGGGTTGAGACTTTATTTAATTATCAATAGTCATATTTTTACTCACCAAATATGGGTTGTCAGAATTTTTTATTTTTGTGATTTTTTTATTTTTGCTCTTTTCAATTTTTTGTTTGATTTTTTATTGTGTTTTGTTCTTACTTGCAGATTGTTTCTTGACGCTCTGGTTAGTACTTCGATATCTGTTTTTTTAGACTCTCTCTCTCTCTCTCTCTCTCTCTCTCTCTCTCTCTCTTAAGTTTGGCAGTTGATTGTTGAGAGAAAGAGGAAAATGAAGTTTGAATCTTATGCATTGGTGTTTGGTATGTGAGTAAAAGGAAGGAAAAGGAAATTGAAAATTTTAACTTTCTTCACCATTTCATTGCTTATAAAACATATAATTAAAAATAAATAAACTACTGTGTAGTACTCATGAAAAGTATGGAAAAATTGGTTAATGAAAGATATTTTTGATTAAATAAGCTACTGTGTAGTACTCATGGGAGTAAATAAGCTACTGTGTAGCATAATTTTTATGAGTATTGAAAAAGGCATTTGTAATTATATAGATAAGACAAAAGATATTTTTGTAACTTTTTATAAATTTTTATTGTAGTTTTTTACTTATTTTTTTTCACATTTTAAAATGCAAAATTAGTAATTAAATTTCTATATTGAAGTTTTGCTAAAATTTTATTCATAAGTAGTATAATTTATATTTTTTTATAATTTACTTTTTTTTTTTGTTTTTGGTGTGGTATACATTAGTTGTTAGTACAAAAAGTGGGCAATACAATCCATAAGAATTTAACTGTTGTCAATGCAAAATTACTATATAGAATCAACCAAAAAATCATGTATTGCAATAGTTCTACATTTTGGCCAACAAAGAAAAATGATGAAGATTTCTATGAGAGTATTTAATTTTTCTTCTATCCTTTTTAATGTATATTGAAGACATAAAAAAATTATAATTTGCCTTCAATCCTGTAGTAGTTCAATTTCTCCATCTGTGATATTCATGCACATACGAACTTCTTAAAGTAGGTGTTAACTAAAATATGTTATAAGGTTGTTCATTCTTTTTCTTTATGGCAATTATTAAACCTCATTCTGCATTCTGACAATTATATTTCATGTCAGCAATTATTTTTATTTCATCTTAATCAAATGGGTTGAGGTTCTCATTAATCATCAATGGTCATATTCTTACTCATCAAACATAAAAATAGATTTGTATACATTTTTAGTGTTGAGGAGTGCTCTTACTAATTGTGTTTTTTTTTTTTTTTACCCTTTTGTCTCATATTTCTTTAGTTTTGATTCTCAAGCAGATACTTAGGTTGGGAGGTCTTTCCCTTGCAATTCTTTATTAGTTCCATACTTTCTTTCTTGAATTGTAGTAGGTTAATTAATGAACTCTCTCAGATTTCTTTAATGCTTTGGAATTTTCGTGTTTGGTCTTGGAATTTCCAATAATTATATTAAACATTAAGCTTTTAATGTTTGGTTTAAAAAAAAAAAAAATCTAATATAGTGTGTATAGTTATGTATCTTGGTATATAGCTGTTCAATTTCCAGAGAATACTTATGTGTCTTTTTTTTTATTTAAATAATAGGAATGTATGATGAATTATGTGAATACTTACTTCTTCTTTTTTTAATAATGACATACAAGATCATTTTTCATGGCCACTTTATTTTTTTTTGGATTCTCTCTCTCTCTCTCTCTCTCTCTCTCTTAGTTTGGTTGTTGATTGTTGAAAGAGAGAGAGGAAAAGGAAGTTTGAATCTTATGCATTGTTGTTTGGTATCTAAGAAAAACAAGGAAAAGGAAATTGAAAGTTTTAACTTTCTTCACTATTTCACTGCTTATAAAACATATAATTAAAAATAAATAAATATAACTTTTGAATGGACAATATGGAAAAATGGGTGAAGTAAATATATTTGTGATTAAATAAGCTACTATGTCGTGTAACTCATTGGAGTAAATAAGCTACTGTGTAGTATAATTTTTATGAGTATTGAAAAAGGCATTTGTAATTGTATAGATAAGGCAAAATATATTTATACTTATCCAGTTACAGTGTGGTGAGACTTTTTATAAATTTTTATTGTAGCCTTTTACTCTTCTTCTTTTTTCACATTTTAAAATGCAAAATTTGTAATTAAATTTCTATATTGAAGTTTTGTTAAAATTTTATTTTGCCTTTTTTTGTGTAGTATATATTAGTTGTTAGTACGAAAAGTGGGTAATACAATCCATAAGAATTTAACTGTTGTCAATGCAAAATTACTATATAGAATCAACTACAAAATCATTTATTGCAATAGTTCTACATTTTGGCCAATAGAGAAAAATTATGAAGATTTCTGTGACAATATTTAATTTTTCTTCTATGCTTTTTAATGTATATTAAAGACATTAAAAAATTATAATTTATCTTCTATCCTGTAGTAGTTCAATTTCCCCATCTGTGATATTCATGCAATGATGAACTTCTTAAAATAGGTTGTTAACTAAAATATGTTATGAGGTTGTTAATTCAGTGTCGATTAATTTTTCTTTATGGCAATTACTAAACCTCATTCTGCATTCTAACAATTATATTTCATGTCAGCAATTATTTTTATTTCATCTTAATCAAATGGGTTGAGGTTCTCATTAATCATCAATGGTCATATTCTTATTCGTCAAACATGAAAATAGATTCATGTACACTTTTTGTGTTAAGGAGTGCTCTTACTAATTGTGTTTTTCTTTTTATCCTTCTATCTCAGATTTCCTTAATTTTGTTTCTCAAGTAGATACTCAGGTTAGGAAGTCTCTCCCTTGCAATTCTTTATTAGTTCCTCGCTTTCTTTTTCGAATTGCAGTGGGTTAATGAATGTTCTGAATTAATGAATGAACTCTCTCAGGTTTCTTTAATACTTTCGAATTTTCATGTCTGGTCTTGGAATTTTCAATAATTAGATTAAGCATTAAGCTTTTAATGTTTGGTTTAGAAAGAAGTCTAATATAGTGTGTACTAGGGTATGCCCGTGCCTGAAGGCGCGATGAAAATAATGTTTGGTTTAGAAAGAAGTCTAATATAGTGTGTATAGTTATGTATCGTGGTATATAACTGTTAAATTTCTAGAGAATACTTATGTTTTTTTTTTAAATAGTTGAAATGTATGATGAATTATGTGAATGCTTATGTCTCTTTTTTTGTTTAATAATGATATACAAGTTCATTTTTTATACCCACTTTATAGACCCAGTGATGTGTCAAGAAGATGATTGATTGATTCTTGACATATCACTGGGCCTGAATAACTATTCTTTATTTATTAAAATAGGTCTAACTTTTGGGCCTGAATAACTTTTGGTTGATTCTTGATTCATTAAAGTAGGTCTAACTTTTGGACCTGAATAACTATTATTTATTTATTTATTTTTTATTACAAAGATTTTGTTACAGTTTAATTTTGTAATATGATAGGTCTTTCTTTTTCTTTTTTCTTTTTTTCCATCTCGCTTAGGTTGTATTTGGATTTAGGATTTGAAGGGAATTTGTTGATTGAAAGGAAAATGAAACATTAAAAAGTTAACTCTTTTTTATTTGATGACCCTTTTTTTTTTGCTTTTAGTGAACTGTTTTTAATTTGAATTTTTTAATTGAACTGCTATTTTAAAATGTTTACGCTTCTCTCTCTCTCTAAAAATTTAGCTTTTTAAATATTAATTTTGGAATTTTTAAAAAAAAAAAACACTTTTTAAAGTAGGTAATTCTGTGTCAATTAATTGTTTTTTATGGCAATTATTAAACCTCATTCTGCCTTCTTACAGTTATATTTCGTGTCAACAATCATTTTTATTTCATCTTAATCAAATGGGTTGAGGTTTTCATTAATCATTAACGATCATTATTCGTATTCGTCAAATATGAAAATATATTCGTGTACATTTTTAGTGTTGAGGAGTGCTCTTACTAATTATGTTTTTCTTCTTATCCTTCTATCTCTGATTCCTGTAATTTTGCTTCTCAAGCAGATACTCACGTTAGGAAGTCTTTCCCTTGCAATTCTTTATTAGTTCCTTGCTTTCTTTTTCGAATTGCAGTGGGTTAATGAATGTTCTGGATTAACGAATGAACTCTCTTAGATTTCTTTAATGCCCTAGAATTTTCATGTTTGGTTTTCGAATTTTCAATAATTAGATTACACATTAAGCTTTTAATGTTTGGTTTAGAAAGAAGTCTAATATAGTGTGTATAGTTATGTATCTGGTATATAGCTGTTCAATTTCTAGGGAATACTTTTTTTTTTTGGAATGTCTGATGAATTATGTGA